CCTTCCCAGCAAATTTGGTTTTTAGTCCCATTGAGTACTTGGGAGCCCTGGTTTTGTAGACGTCCAGATCCACCCTATCAAATGCTGCAGGACCTGGTGTCTGCAAGAGAAGCAATGAGGTTGGTGGGTACAAGAGACAGTGTGAATTCTTCGTGGGTGTCCATGAGTAGTGTGCTGCTTGAGGTGGCTGGCCAGAGGAGCAGTGGGGGAGGTCTGGAGCCTTGGGAATGAGGGCTCCTTGGGAAGAGAGGTAGATTTCCCAGAGGACGAGGGAGATTATTGCCATTAGTGCCAGTGAGCTGTACCGTGCCAAAGCTGCTGGTGTGGAATAATGAGAGGCTGCAGGTGTCGGTGTTACTGGTAATGGCAGAGCCAGAGGCCTTGTGGTTTCTTGGGCTTCTGTGCTGAGCAGAGCAGCTGAGGTTCTGCTGCTGCTGTGAGAGAACAGACAAGCACAGCTCACCTTTGCCACGTCTTGAAAACAGCTCTGGTATTTACTCTTCCCCATCATGATGCAGCATGGTTCAGCATGAGTGTATGCTGTGTGTCGTCCCAGAACCCTGGGCAAGGTGTAGGTGCCAGGACCTGGAAATGGAATAGGTAGATGGGATAGGTCAGTCCTGTGGGAAAGGGTGCAATGCCTGGGTGGAAGAGAGTCAGCCTTCCAAGCTGGTTGTGAGGAGCAAGAAGGGTGTCCTGCCCCTCATCCCAATGCCTCTGGCTTTTGTTGCATGGAGTGTGCCTTGGCTGTTTGAAGCCAGAGCTGCCAGTTCTTCTGTGAGATGGGAGAAGTTGATGCTGTGGAACAGGAAAAAGCTTGTTGAGCACACACTGTGTCTTACTGCCTAGGCTTTTTGCTAGGCCTGTTGAAGAAGCTGCAGATGCTCCCTGGAGGACACACAGGCTGTAAGAGTGTTTGTTTCCCCAAGTTCCATACCTGGTGTTCGGAACCTTTTAAAGTCCTTGGGCCGGAACATCATGAGACTCGTGGGTGCAGTATAGTAGATGTGTTTGTTGGCAGGATCTGTGATGTAGTCACCTGGGACAGAGAAGGAGACAAGAAAAGAAGTGAAGCTGGGAACCTAACTGCAAGCCAAAGAGGAGAAGGCAGGAGGAGGTGAATGCTGCAGGACCTGGTGTCTGCAAGAGAAGCAATGAGGTTGGTGGGTACAAGAGACAGTGTGAATTCTTCGTGGGTGTCCATGAGTAGTGTGCTGCTTGAGGTGGCTGGCCAGAGGAGCAGTGGGGGAGGTCTGGAGCCTTGGGAATGAGGGCTCCTTGGGAAGAGAGGTAGATTTCCCAGAGGACGAGGGAGATTGTTGCCATTAGTGCCAGTGAGCTGTACCGTGCCAAAGCTGCTGGTGTGGAATAATGAGAGGCTGCAGGTGTCGGTGTTACTGGTAATGGCAGAGCCAGAGGCCCTGTAGCTTCTTGTGCTTTGTTGCAGGTGCAGGGTAATGTGTCTTATGTGGGGATAAAGCAGGCATTGGGGCCCTTCTGTCCTGAGCAGTGCAGCTGAGCTTCTGCTGCTGCTGTGAGAGAACAGACAAGCACAGCTCACCTTTGCCACGTCTTGAAAACAGCTCTGGTAATTACTCTTCCCCTTCATGGAGTAGCACGGTTCGGCATGAGTGTACGCTGTGTGGGGTCCCAGAATCCTTGGCAGGGTGTAGGTGCCAGGACCTGGAAATGGAATAGGTAGATGGGATAGGTCAGTCCTGTGGGAAAGGGTGCAATGCCTGAGTGGAAGAGAGTCAGCCTTCCAAGCTGGTTGTGAGGAGCAAGAAGGGTGTCCTGCCCCTCATCCCAATGCCTCTGGCTTTTGTTGCATGGAGTGTGCCTTGACTGTTTGAAGCCAGAGCTGCCAGTTCTTCTGTGAGATGGGAGAAGTTGGTAGATGGGATAGGTCAGTCCTGTGGGAAAGGGTGCAATGCCTGAGTGGAAGAGAGTCAGCCTTCCAAGCTGGTTGTGAGGAGCAAGAAGGGTGTCCTGCCCCTCATCCCAATGCCTCTGGCTTTTGTTGCATGGAGTGTGCCTTGGCTGTTTGAAGCCAGAGCTGCCAGTTCTTCTGTGAGATGGGAGAAGTTGATGCTGTGGAACAGGAAAAAGCTTGTTGAGCACACACTGTGTCTTGCTGCCTAGGCTTTTTGCTAGGCCTGTTGAAGAAGCTGCAGATACTCCCTGGAGGACACACAGGCTGTAAGAGTGTCTGTTTCCCCAAGTTCCATACCTGGTGTTCGGAAACCTTTTAGGTCCTTGGGCCGAGACGCCAGGCTATTCGCTGGTGCGCTATGGTAGACGTGTTTGTTGGCAGGATCCGTGGTGTAGTCACCTGGGACAGAGAAGGAGACAAGAAAAGAAGCGAAGCTGGGAACCTAACTGCAAGCCAAAGAGGAGAAGGCAGGAGGAGGTGCTCAGTCTTGCTTTCTGTCTGGAGCCCTCTGAAGCTTATTCAGGGCATGGGCAGAGGGGGCTTTGTGCCCCAGTGGCACAGGGCAACAGTAAGGCATGCTTGTCTGGCCTGAAAGAAGGGATGCAGAAATGCTACTCACTGGGTCCAGGGGTGAC